AATAACTCTCTCATTGCCGCAATATTCCTCATTGTGTTGTTCAATTTGATCCTCTGTAATCCAGCTAGACTCTTTCGCATGACCGTCTGTGTCCTTGAGGACCGTGGTAGCTGCAGACTCGTGGGAATTTCCTGCAGCATCATTGACTTGAGCCTCAGCTGAAGAATTGTCCACGACCTTGGTTGAGTTTACCTCATCTTTTGGTTTCAGTTCAATGGATCCATCAACCACCTCGGGGGTCTCCTGGGCCTTCTTCTCGTCGTGTTTCACTTGGTCCACGGCCTCAGACAGAGGACTAGGACTGAGAAGATCTTCTGAAGATGAAGAAACTGGCATATTGTGCTTGTTACCCACTCGCGTCCTGTAAAAACCACTTGACGGAGACTGTCGAGCACTGGTGTCGTCCTCGCTGGCCTCCCCATGTCTCTGTAAGCCATCTGGAGAGTACAGCCCCCTTCCGCCTCCCTGGCCTCTTCTGAAAGTAGCACCGGAGCCCTGCTGATCTATATTTTCGAAGACAGCACTGAGCTGACTCACAGTGGGAGATGAGGCCTCTGTCCTGGAGCAAAGACTATCCAAAGAGTCCGTACTGCCTCTGTTTGAACGCGCACCCCTCCAGTCATCCAAATGCTCGTGAGAGCCCCTCTTGTCTCGGCCATAAGAGTACACCGGCGACTGTGAAGCATCTCTGGAGCTCTGCTCAAAAAGCTTCCTTGTTTCGGAGAACTTTGATTTATGATGGCCACCAGCAGTCCGCTCTCCATTGCCGTGCTGGAACTGGACCACCGACCCATCCGCCTTGTTGATGAAGTTTGTTGGCTTGCTGAGTTTCTGTGGGGAGGTCTCATCCTTTGCTCGTCTGTTGGACCCCGTGTTCTCAGTGCCCATTTGCATGAACATGTTCTTGATGCGACTGACGTGGGCCCCGTATTGCCGCCCTCGAGGCTGCCTGATCCCCTCTGGGTCCTTGAGTTTGGGGCCTCCATCCTGTCTTGGTTGGTCAAATGCCTTCTTTAGAGCCTGGAACTCCGTCCTGTAGGCGTTCCGGTGCGGGGAAGCGCTCCTCAGGGTATTCCTCTCTGTCGAGGCCTCCGTCTTCATCATCTTAGCCTCGACAATGGAGGTCTTCTCAAATAAACAGTAACATACCTTCAGGTTGTTCGTTGGGTGCAATCACATATTATTGGGGATTCCTGAAAAGGTGAAAATACAGTAAAGTATTGTGAAAATGTACAATTTAACAGTTATTTAACCACATTAATTTAAAACATTTTAGAACCTTCTTGAGCCAAAAAAAAAAAACATGTCTGTGATTGTAATCACAGAAAAATAACTTTATTGTTGAGTGTGATTATTAGGAATGGCTCCATTGACCACTCACTTTACACTTACAATTCATTGTGGGGACACAGTGAAAAAAAAATAGGGACTACAGACTCAGAGCCTAAATATTTGTCTCAAAACTAGTCTTCTGCATTGGCAAAGCAAATTTGATATTGTGACCTGTGAAAGAGTCAAAATACATACTCAGCCAGAGAAAAGAGTGTGTGAGAGAAATTGATTGACTTTAAGATAAGATACATACAGTACAGATTAATTGATGCTCAGACACTAAAACTCCAGTTTGATCAGCAGTTCTTTAATAAGGCATGCTGACTCATCAGAAATGAATTAGACTTAAATTAAGTGCCTAATGCATATGGCAAGTGGCTTTATTTGGCCACACAGCGCATGCATGTACCTTATAAGTCCATTCTGGACTTTGCAATTAAAGCAATTTAATTTAGTTAGTTCACCAAATTCGTATTTACAATAGCCTGAACGGCAGCAGCAGGGCAGATGAAAACAACATCTCTAAAGCAACTCAGCCGCACATCAGTTTGTAAACACACGCCTCAAAAAGGGCTCGGATGCTGGAAGATGCCTTGGCTCTAGTCCACCGCCCTGGTTCTTGAACATTATGCGCGATCATCACTTTAGCATAAGGGCAGACGGAGCACTCAATATCAGCGCGATGTTGTTGATCATGCACCGATGTGTTTTCGACGCAGATCTCGATATGACTCACAGATTAGATTCGCCTTCCAGCACCCATCGTGAACACCGCAGACAGCCGCTGCATTTTAGCCTGACGGAATGTGTTTTATCAATCCCAGATCGCAAGAATTAATATTTAATATAAATACAATAAAGCACGAAAAGCCAGATGCACATTTAAGCCCAGCACAAGGACAAAATATAGCCTAGCTGTGCGAGCAACCTGCATAATGTAAAACAGTTTGCTTAGATAACAGCCCATTTACTCTCACAACATGCATAACGCGAATAAATGTGAAACTGCAAATGTATTTTTTTGAAAAAGTGCGACCATTGCGCTATTCAAAGATGATGAGCAACCCGTGCGCGCATCACATCGCCTGCATCACTGACAGCTCCATCCTACAAAACAGTCTCCATAAACACTCAAAATACAGACCTAGTTCATTCCAGCGAGTGTATCTGCAAAACACCGTACATAAACACAAAGCAGAAGTGACACAAGTATTACTTAACTCCCTTGTTGTTGCTCCAAAACAAAAGAGGCACTTACCTACGTCTTCAAATGTCATGTTAGTTATCACAGGAATAAATGTGTCCTCGCTTTAAATCATTAACTAAAGGGGAATTTCATTGGAAAGCATTTTAATTCAGCAACGCTACTGGCATCAACCTTACCAGACAATTGACACAATGTGACATACAAGCCGGGCTTTACTCACACACATACACAGACACAGAAACACACACACATACGCGCGCGCACGCAGCTAGACAACGCCATTGCAGGCGAGGGGTGATGCCGCCATTCCCTCAGTAGGGGTGTTGTTGATACACAAGCCTATTCAGAGTCAAACTATCAGTTTAGACAAAGCAATTTCCATATTTCTTCATGTATTCACCACAACTAATTGGGTTTCTCGACTATGTTCTATTGTCACGAGACCTTCGACAATTGACAGGTGTGTAACCCAAGTTTCACAAATGGTTCGGTCCATTAATCTGTATAGAGGGGGAACGTCTATGGGGGAACAAGCAAACTGCAGTCTGGCAATGGTAAAGGAAAGAAAATAATATCGCAGAATAAAATTAACTACTACAGTGGTCGTGCTGGAGTGATACAAGGCCACGTGGCGGCAAGAATAATCAATCAAAATACAATTGCAATTGTAATTTCTTTGTAAATGCATTTCTGCTGCCTCTGTGTAATGTAAATGCACTTTTCGTGTTTTATTTGCCACTTCACATGTAGCTGTGCTGCATTTGCAGCATAAAGGCATTAATAGGGGATTTGTGGGAGAAATATGGGAATTAAATTTAGAAATAATTAATTATTAAAAGAAGGAGAAACACTGGATATTTGACCTCTTTATATTTACAGGGTTTAGGCTGATGTGAAAATGAATTCGTTAAACTTTAGCTAAAAAGAATTTTATGCAACTGCTAAATTGTTGCAGATATAATTGCATAATTGCAGAAATAATCAGTTGTATAATTGCAGAAATAATCAGTTACACCCTCATGTTTTTTATATGTATTACATAACACTTGATCATGCTTACTCCTGTCAGAGGTTGTCTTGAGATGTTGCTTAGCAACCTAAAATCCTAATGGCACAAGATGCAGTCTGGTAGCACTTTTGTCCATGAGGTACATCAAAAACTGAACCATCAGATGGTTTGTTGAATCACTCGTGGTGCTCACTATAGACTGTCCAGATGTGTGGCATTGTGCACAGTGCAAGTGGTCATCATGGCCATCTGTGTGCTCACTGCTCAGCTTCTCCACAGGGGGTTGAATACATTTTAATAGACCTTATCTCATTGTCATCTTTAGAGCTTATGGGGCATGATGGATGGGGGAGGGGGGCAGGGAGGAGCCTCCTGTGCATTATCCTCAGAGAGGTTGCTTCTGTCATTGCTTCATTTACAGCACTTGTAATATTTAGGAGATGCTGAATCCAAAGGTATAAATCACACTTCAGTGATCATACTGTGTACTTAAATCACCAATTCATTTTTTAGTTAAAGTCACATTCTGCAATGATAAACTAATTTAACTATTTCCAGCCGATTTAAAATCATATAATATAATAATTATTGTTTTTATTTTATTATTATTTTTTTAATTGCAAACAATTCAAATGAAAAGGAAAGAAAGGAGGAAAATACAAACAGGTAAAAAAATGACCCCTCCATCAGTAAGAAAGATATGATCAAGTACTTAATTAGTTAATCTTATTATTTGTACATTTGAAAGATTTTACAGTAAGGGAAATCTCAGCAAGAAAGACTTCGGTTACACTTTATTTTAAGGTTACGTAGCCTAGTTATATTGTTACTCAAATAAGTACTGAGTAAGATTATTAACTACATACTGACTGTAAGGGTTTGGGTTATTTGTAATTATGTATAATTAACTGTTAGTTACTCATTAATACATGTAATGTAACTACGTAACCTTATTTTATTTTTTTTTTTTTTTGCCAAAGACTTCCAATCTTAGCAGTGTTAAGAAATGTATTCTTGTAAATACAAAAAAAGATAATTTTAATGCAAAACAAAGAAATAATAATAGGTTAAATTACAAAATGAGATAGATGACAACTTAAAATTTCCCAAATCAAATGTATTAGATTGAATTTATGTGTCCCAACAGTTATACATTTAAGTTCTGAGTTATAGTGATTAACTATGTAGGCTACTTACTATAGGGTTAGGGTTTAGTTTAGGGACATGTAACATGTGTACCAAGGACACATTATAAGTCAATTTTACTGAATGCACATAAGTTGGAAACATCAGCAAAAGGAGCTATAGTTGGGTATAAATTATTCAGGCTAAATTAAACATCTTATATAAGATCATATAAATATATATATATATATAAAAAACATAGCCTATGCTTACGCAATTCGACTGGCATTAAAAAAATAACTACTGCATGGTAGGCCTATGTGCTACATATGTTTTCCATCTCGTCCTAACCGAGTCCCCTGTAAATATAGCTTGTGATTATCATTTATTTTTTCCAACATCTGCGCCAGATGTTTTCAGCCAACCAGCGCGCCCATCAGCTTCAGTGAGTGGGAGGAATCCGAGCAGCGGAGGATGATGATGATGATGCTTATGGCTGTCACAGTCACATCCCGAGGACCACCAGCGATTCCACAAATGTGTTGTGTTAAGAGCCACTGCGGCAACTGAACGATGTCCTCGGTCGGCATTTTCGTGGGGCTCGTAGTGGGTACGTATAGACTTGGGACGACGACACTGGGAGAAATACTCGTTCTTTTCCGTTGGATGAGAGCTAACTTAGCTAGCTGGCTAACGGAATAGCTCTCTTGCTCATTAGCCTACACCAGAATAAACCGAATAACAGTTAACTGATAATTCAGAGATGGTATCAGCGTGTTGACGTTAATATCGCGAATTCCACCTGTAATACATTATTCAGTACATTCCTTTTGGTATTAAACGGTGAACTTGCTAATTGAAAACTACATACATTGATTCATTTGCTTCTTGTAAGATTACGATAACGTTTTTCATAGTAAATTGTTTTATGATATTTTCACATCTATTATTCCTCTTTGTCCGTTGTAAAAAGCCGCAATTGTTCGTTCTGTCAGTGGCACAGACGGCCAAACCCTGGCTTTAATCGACTCCAAACAGAGATCTGTGTTTCAGACTGGCGGTGAGTGATTGGAAAGACTGGATGTGTCTCAAAAACTAGTATGCTGCCTCCTGTCTTAGTAGTGCTGGGGAATGTGATTCATTCCAGTGACTCGAATCTTTTGAATTGGTTCATTTAGTGGCTTTCTCTGCAGGTGAATAATGTTTTCATTTTTTATTTACAGAAACAAATCAACTAGTAAAATGCTGTGTTGTTTCAATCCATGTAAGGGTGAAATATGGACAAACCCAACCGTTGGTTTACTTTTTTTTGCTTAAACCTTTAAACCCAATGGTTGGGTTTGTTCACTTTAAAGATTTAATTAAAACACTGATTTGTTTACCAAATACCAATACAGAAGTTTTCTGCTTCATGGGAACCCTTAAACCAGACTGCCAAAATGGTACATGTTCCTGTGATGACTAGGTAGGCAGCTCACTAGATTTTTGAGACAAAGCCGATGTGTTTGACGTGATCGTAACACACGCACAGCACTTTCCTGTGCAAAGCTTTTTGGGCTTAACACCTGCCACCCTGCTGAATCGCCAACCTGTATTATTCACCTTCCTCTTGACTCTTTTGAAATAGGAAGGGGAAGAACTACTTCTTTAACAAAACTGGCTTGTATATAGGCTATAACATGCAGTAGTCCAGTGATGCTGCCTCTAATATATAACATGTTTTTTTGTTGTTGTTTTTTTTGCAATGCTTTACAGTTTGACATAAAATATTTGATCTGCATAATACATTTAGCATTATAAATGAATGTGTTCACTTCTTCAAATGTATCAAAATGAGAATCAGCATTACCTGATAAATGGACGGCTTGAGAAAAGCATTCTTTCACTTCACCATGAGTGTGTTCCCGGCTACAGCTTAGTCTTGACAGGCTGACCCAGTTTTGTGCATAACATTGACTTCCAGGCGCAGTACTTTGAACAGTTTGACGTCTTCACAATCCTGCAAGTAGTCTGCACTGTTTCTTTTCTTCCCTATGAATCGTGAAGTGCATGAATTCCTCTTGACCGGAAAAGAGAAGTCAGCACAGAGCTGATTCGACAGTTCAGTAGGACATCCCCGGCTGTCACGAAAAGGGAGGGAGCGAAAGAGAAAAAGTCTTTCCTCAGTTGGCACATGATGAATATCTTCACAAGGTCGGCTCATAAAATCATAAACCAGGATTAGCCATTTCTACTAAAGGGCCTGTCGGTAATTTGTGCGAGTTTGCGCATGTGCGTGTACTTGGTGTCGCAAAGTTTGCCATTAACCATTAATGGTTGATCTATTACAATATAGTGTTGAGGATCACCTTCTGTTTTCCTTGAGTTCACATAGTATTCAAGTCATTTCAGAGGGTTTGGGATGTGGTTTTGTCTCTGTCGGGTTTATATCAGGCTCTGGGCTAAGGTCGCCCACAGGGTGACAGAATAAACCATCTGCCATTCTAATCATTTGAAGCATGCATCTGTGCGTATGTACAAAACCACAGCCTTCAACACCACAGAAACAGATCAATACCCCATCATGGATAAAAGCATTAGTGAAGACACAGCTGTTCAAAAGCCCATAACAGTGCATGGATGTTTGCATTAAGTGTGGATTTCTGTGATATCTACACATTAACATACACTGTAGATCTAAAGGCCTGTTCACACCAAAATTAATGTACAGAGCAAAAAATCGGTTCGATTTTCACGTTATTGCATGCTTAAAAACTGCTTACTGCCAAGAAAAGCAGAAATACCAGGTTACGCCATGACACGAAGCTCTGCACAACTTTCTGTTTCAGACACCCACTTCTCATGGAGAAGAAAGGAAGTCAAAAGGCCAATTCACAACGCACCGACAGACAACAACCAATTGCAATAGACTTTGTTGGGTTTTGTCGGATCGGTGTGTCGGTGTCTGTCGGTTTTGATTGCCACTTGTTTCCACCAATTGAACATGTTCAGTTGGTTTTTGTAAGGTTGTGGAATGTCTGAAAAGGGATGTGCTGTAATCTGGTAATTGTCGGCACCAGTCGGCGTCGGTCAATTTGCTTAAACACTATTTTAAGTTGGGCTATTTTGGATTCACTGTTAAAAATTAAAAAAAAAATGGCCTGTTTTTTATTACTGGACAGTATGTAGGCTGGAAGCGAAGAGGGTAGAGAAAGAAGGGGTCAAGATCGGGACTGGTGTGTTTATATACTGTATATATATATATATATATATATATATATATATATATATATATCACAAATACATGAGTACAGAGATAAGAGAGCCGTTTCGGGATTCTTCCTCTGCTATTCACTGTCGCTTAAATTAATTTTTGATATGTTTTAGCTTACCTCAAGGGCAACCAAGATGTAAGTGTCTTTGTTTCCACAGTATTTTCAATTTTGATATTTTAGGTCAAACCGTTCTTGTCTGTCAGTCATATAATGCAGGTCTATGGTCACCATCTCAAAGAGCATGCACAGAGAAGTCAAAATTAAACATGATTAAAAAGTGCCCAACATTATTTTAAATATATCTAGTCAGTGAAAGCGTGCAAGCATATTCATCTTCAATAACTCAGTAATTTCAGCTTCAGAATGATGAATATTGTTATCCTGGTTTTACCATTGTCCTTGGGTTACAAGCACCATATTCATTTAAACCCACAACGTAATATCAAAGTTAGAATTTTAATCAACAGTACACTCTTTGTTAACCTTTTACCATATGTCTTGGAGTATCGCAATAATATCGTATCGTTAGTTCAGTATCGTGATATGTATCGAGTCGTGACATGAGGGTTACACCCCAATCGTTACACCCCTAGTAATCGCTACAAAATGTACAAAAACACTCAGTTTACAGCCTGCTTTCTGCAGCAGTAATAGCGTAACATTGCATTAAGCGAAGTGTCGAGTTTTGGAAATAGGTGTAATTTGCATAGAAAAAAAATTACATTTATTTTATTAATTTAAATAAAATGTTAATGCAAATATTAACTATTTATGCTTTATGTAAATATATATTTGAAGCGCATTATATACTCTTATAGGCATGTTGATATGTATGAATTAAGGCTGGTTCTAATCCACAGGACCAGCAGTTTTAGTTTGTTGATGATGTATCAAAAGATTATTTTATCTTTATGTGTTTATATTTATGTCAGCTCTCTTTGTGTAACCCGTTTATGCTTCCAGATGTCTTGTGACCACTCTTGGTTTGTGCCGTTCTGATCAGCTTAATGTGTTTGCACCCTCGGTGTAAGCACACACTGGGTCTTGAGTGATGTACTAGGAGCTGTTTTGTGTTTGAAAGCGTGAAGAAATCTAGCACTTCTGTAGTTGCTTTCACTCAGTGCAGCAGAGATTCAAAACCAGCTTCCTCTCAACTGACTCAAAGTGAGAAAAGAAAGAGGCACTGTCAACCATCTCTCCAGTATCTATTATAAACTGATGGGAAAAAACGATCTCTTAAATAATAGTGTGTGTAGTGCCTGAGAAAAGCGAGGGGTGGGGAATGGCGTGTGAGAGTTGCATTGAGCGTGCAGGGTTTGAGTGTTTAGAGATTGTGATTCACTGTACTACTGTTCACCAGCCAATGAGACTCGATGGTCTAATGCCCAAGACACGCTCACCCACTCGCTCACATAACACTTTCTCACACACTCCCACAAGAAAGAAACACACCCTTGTTACATAAATGTATTAAAAATAAATGCAAGTTAAAATAGACATTTTACATTATTAAGCTCTAATTAATAAGTAACATAATCTAATATATTGTAATATTTGTTATGTCTGTGTTTATCTTAAAACGTCAAATTATGTTTGTTAAGTAAATATGACAGTTATGTTCATAATTAAGTTATATACCATTACCATATACCATTCAAAAGTTTGGAGTCAATAATATTTTTTATTGTTTTTGAAAAAGTGTCTTATGCTCACTATGGCTGCATGATATTGTGAAATATAAATATTGCTATTTAAAATAGCTGTTATGCATTATAAAATAAAAAAATAAATATAATTAAATAATATAAAAATAATATAAATATAGGAAAATAATATAAAAAGTCATTTGTGATGAAAAGCTGAATTACTCGTCTTCCTTGTCACATGATTTTTCTGAAATCATTGTAATATGATGATTTGCTGCTCAAGAAACATTTCTTATTATTATCAATGTTGAAAAAAGTTTTGTGGATTAATATTTTTGTAGAAACCATGATACATTTTCTTGTTGTTCAAAAGAACAACATTTATTTTAAATATATATATTTTTGCAACATTATACATTTTAGGTCAATCTGATATTTCTTTAATGAGTGTTCAATTCTTGAAGAAAGTTTTATCCAAAATTATTACTCCAAACTTTTGAAGGTGGCATATACATATAAATGTATGTGTGCACACACACACATAGTATATTAATAGCTATTTCTTTTGTGTGTTTAGTGAGGGAATTTTGTCTGCAACATCACACTGCTCTTAATAACTTTTTTTATCATTTCTATCTGCACCAGTGGTCACCATCCTCTCTAAGTCACACGCGGACCGCAACGTTTATCCTTCTGCCGGAGTGCTTTTCGTTCATGTGCTAGAGAGAGAACACTTTAAAGGGGAGTTCCCACCATATCCGAAAGCAGGTATACTGACTCCACCACTACACAATAACATGCCTATACAGAATAAATGTTTCACTATATTAATTTTTATGAAATATCTGTTCACTGATTCATTGATTTTTGTATATCACTGCACATCAAACATATAAATCTTAGTTTACATGTCAGGGTCTGAGGGCCCTGGAAACATTACACATAAATATTATGAACATTTGTCTCAATAATATTTTTGCATTGCAGCAAACTTTTTGTAAAAGCAAAATTGACAATAAGCACAGCCTTTCATAGTTGTTTAAAGGAGTAGTTCACTTTTGAAAAAACTTTTGCTGATAATTTACTCACCCCCATGTCATCCAAGATGTCCATGTCATTCTTTCTTCAGTCGAAAAGAAATTAAGGTTTTTGATGAAAACATTCCAGCATTTTTCTCCATATAATGCACTTTACTGGCAACCAAATGGTTCAAGGTCCAAAAGACACTTTCAGTACAAACTGCAAACTGTTCAAAGGGCTTTAAACGATTCCAGACGATGACTAAGGGTCTTATCAAGCGAAACAAGCACCCATTTAATAAAAAATTAACAATGTTTAAGTTTTATTAGCTCAAATGCTCGCCTTGCTCTGTTCTGTGATGCGCATTCGTGACTCTCCTGTTCGAACTTCTTCATCAAAATGAACAAATCTTTTTTTCGAGTCAGTTCATTCGTTTTGTTTGTTGAATGAACCAAATGACTCGGAAAAAGAGGAGAGTAACGAATGCACATCACAGAACAGAGCAAGGTGACCATTTGAGCTTATAAAAGTTAAACTTTGTCATTTATTTTTTAAATGAGCGCTTGATAAGACCCTTATTCATCGTCTGGAATCATTTAAAGCCCTTTGAACAGTTCTCAGTTTGTACCTTAAACCGTTTGGTTCCCACTGAAGTGCATTATATGGAGAAAAATCCTGGAATGTTTTCATCAAAAACCTTAATTTCTTTTCGACTGAAGAAAGAATGACATGGACATCTTGGATGACATGGGGGTGAGTAAATTATCAGCAAAAGTTTTTTCAAAAGTGAACTACTCCTTTAAGTAAAGTAATTATTTCATTTCAGGTGATTCGAGTAACGACCCCATCACATTTAACACTAACCTTAAAGGCTATCCAGACAGGCCCGGATGGTTGCGGTACATTCAAAGAACCTCGCACAGTGATGGAGTCCTCTATGGCTCTCCAACAGCTGATCATGTGGGCAAGCCGACCATCATCGAGGTGTGTTATCATGTGTAGACTTATTAGAATTAGTTTTCTTTTACATCTGACCTCATATACACTGCTGTTCAAAGGTCAGTAAGGTTTTTCTTTGAAAGAAATGTATACATTTATTCAACAAGGATGCATTAAAAATCAAATACAAATTTGTGTCTAACATGTCGGAAACGCAAAACGTTTCTTGTCTCGTCACATTCAGTTATGCATCACATGAAATCCTGAAATGACTTTTCAAATGATTTTTTAAATTAAAACACTGATTTGCATAATTTGATATTACTGTCAGACACCATTTCTATCATAAAACAGCTAATAACTATAAATATTTAGCTTTTTTTCCTCCCTTAAAAGAGTAGTTCACTTTAAAAAAAAAAAACTTTTGCTGGTAATTTACTCACCCCTATGTCATCCAAGATATCCATGTCATTCGCTCTTCAGTCGAAAAGAAATTAAGGTTTTTGATGAAAACATTCCAGGATTTTTCTCCATATAATGGACTTCAGTGGGTGCCAATTGGTTCAAGGTTCAAATGAGAGTTTCAGTGCAGCTTCAAAGGGCTTTAAATGACTCCAGATGATGAATAAGGGTCTTATCTAGCCAAATTATCGGTCATTTAAAAAATAAATAAAAAACTTTAAGGTTTATAAGCACAAATGCTCGCCTTGCTCTGTTCTGTAATGCGCGTTTGTGACTCTCCTGTTCGAACTCGTTCATCAAAATGAACACATCATTTTTCGAGTCATTTGGTTCATTCAACGAACGAAATGACTTGAAAAAAGATTTGTTCATTTTGATGAACGAGTTTGAACAGGAGAGTCACGGACGCACATCAGTACAGAGCAAGGCGAGCATTTGTGCTTATAGAACTTAAACTTTTTAATTTATTTTAGAAATGACCGATCGTTTCGCTAGATAAGACCCTTATTCATCGTCTGGTGTCGTCTTCTGTGAATAGTAAGGCCTGCCTTCTTAAATTTGATTGACCATCTCAATAATTTTGACAGTGATGAGTGCTGTAGACCTTTGAGGCAGTCCAGCATAAAAATGTTACTTTTAAAACTTTTTTTCTTCCTAAAACAACTAACAGAGAAGTGTGTAGAGAATATCAAATATTGATATAAATGATTTTACCATTTCTAATTATTGGGGTGACTTCAATGTCTACTGTGGCTACGGCCCTCTTTTGTTTTTAAATAAGTGTTAAGTAATTAAATCTCTTTTTTTTCTAGGAAAATAGAAAGTAATAGGGCAAAGTTGAATTTGTATGCATAAGAATGCTTATCTCCTCTTTGTGCATTGTTGAGGCTTTAGATTCATGTAAGGATTTGGCTTTGATATTCTTCTATACCCTTGAGAAACTATGTGTTTGCATCTGGTTCTGCAAAGCTGTCCTGAGCCGGGCTTAAACTTTCCCTCTTGTGTGTTGCAGATTACAGCGTATAATAAACGCACTTTTGAAACTGCCAGGCACAACTTGGTCATAAACATAATGTCTACAGAAGGTGAGATCCATGAACAGTTTTGATTTAGCAAATCTCATTATAACATACAGCCATATGTTCAAAGAAAGACTCTATTGTTTGACTGAAAACCTTAATCCTAAAGTATGGAAAACATGTGTTTGCGTAAGAATAAACCAGCCAGACTTTAGGTCTTACTCACTAATAATTGCATGGATTTTTTAGTATTTGTACACACAGGAGAACTTCTCCCGAAAAATCTCCGCCTGCTTCACAACACGTGCGTTCCCACATGAATTTGTCCTTAACCTCTTTCTAATGTTAGTGAATTTAGAGTAATTTAAATCTCGAGGTTAATCATTTGCATAAAAACGCCCAAAACATCTCCTTTGGTTGGTCTTTCTGCACAACCTTTCCTTTACAGTCTTTTCGTCTCACTTTCGCCAGATCCTCGCGCAATGTCAAGTGTGCCATTCTCAAAACCAGTTCAAACACAATAAACACCTTTTACCCAGCGGTACACACATACTCGTACTGTATATCTGATTCTTTATTCAGAGCAGCCTCAGAGAAGAAACCATTACACATCTTTTCTTTTGCTTTCATGATTAAATATATACAATGAAATTAAATGGTTTGATTTTTTCATTTAGTGGTTTCAGTTGTTCCTATATTTTTTAAGTTTTTGGTGAATCATCATTTCTTAGTGAAGACGTCGGTACGCAGATTTCACGCACAAATTTGTGCATACGCATGAGACCCGTTGATTTAAAGTTATTTTAATATTACTATTAGTAGTTGTAAAAGTTTTATAAAAACATGATATTTAAAACGTTTAATCACTATTATAAAAATGAATTGTCATACAAATATTTGTGATTAACTATTTAATTCGTGTTGTTTACTTGGAATTGCATATAATAATAAAATTATAATAAAATAGGCCAATATGGTTTACTTTGATTCTGTGAAAATAAATATATAATTAATTATAATACGTTGTAATGCAGTCTGATTAAACCCACAAACCTTCATTTAGTATGCAGGAAGACTATCTTTGTGTACTTTACAAAAAAAAAGTTATATTCTTATTTAAACTGCGTAATTATTGCCTTTATTTCAAAGCGAATAACCACGATCAGATGATTAATCAATAATCGCGACAGGTCTACAGCTAATAGCGTCGTTTGTTTGTATGTTTTAGCGTCTGATTTATATTCACCACATTATATTTGCAGAAATATTGTCATTGAATGTTCTGTGTTGTTTAGCCTTAAGCTGAGCAACTGTTTCAGTGCAGATGTGACCTCACTGTGAAGCAGTCCACCATCTGCCATCTCGTCCAGAAAGAGACACTTCAAAATGACAGCCAACTTATTATCCAACTGTTATGTAACCTAGTTTGGATCACTTGTTATTGCATACAGGAAGATATGCTCATATCTTTGCTCTCTGGCAGAGTTTCCCTTGCCCTATCAGGCCGAGTTCTTCATCAAGAACATGAACGTTGAGGAGATGTTGGCCAGCGAGGTGCTGGGAGATTTTCTCGGTGCTGTTAAGAACGTGTGGCAGCCGGAGAGACTTAATGCCATCAACATCACTTCGGCGCTGGACCGGGGAGGACGAGTGCCTTTACCCATCAATGACCTGAAAGAGGGGTAAGACTTAAATATTACTGTACACTGAAAAAAAATTAACTAAAGGGGACATATTATGCCCTTTTATATTAAGACTTGTTTTTGTTTTGGGGCTACTAGAATAGGTTTTCAAGCTTAAATGTTCAAAAACTCCTTATTTTTCACATATTTGACATTGTTGCAGCACCTCTCTTTCCAGTCTGTCAGGAACGCTTTGTTTAGTTCCTGTCTCTATGAAGCCCCTCCTTCTGATTGGTCAGCTGGAACAGTTGGTTGTGATTGGTCAACTGCTTCAGTGTGTTTGGGGAAATGTCACACCCTTACCATACCTGGGAGTTTCAACACATTTCTAACTCATCCAGTCCTCACCCCCTTTATTTTGCATATGCCTTGTGTGGGAATTATTTAAATGAGGAATATTTAAGACTACTATATAATAAGACTACAATAGAGGCATTTCAGGGAGTTCAGAAACCGCATGTCTCTCACATAGAGAAAAACCCCTTTGGACGGCCTTTGTAACTTTGCAGATGTTCAGACAGCAACATTACACATGAAGAAAAGTGTACAAAAGCATAATAGGTCCCCTTTAAACAGCTTATTGCCACAGAACTTGAGCATATTGTGATATATATCAACAAATATGAGAACGTTCTTGAGAAACCCATGAAAAAAAGAACATACTTTCGGAGAAGGCAGAAAAACACTGTTTTGGGCTGTGGTGAATTTACATAAGGTAGAGGCTGCCCATCTCTGTTCACGTTTCTTTAGAGGAATTCCCTCATGCGTTAGGATAAATTGTTCATCAAATATTCATGTACTCCTTACTAAGGATAAAATGTTCCAGATGAAGGCATTTTAGAAGGTCTCAGAGCAGAAAACACATTTATCTTGGCAGACAGAATATGTATAGTATAGTCCTATTGTTGTTGTAAGCTTTATTTCTGTGCATCATGGTTATGTTGAGTGTGTAGTTCTCTTTAAAAAAAACTTTTGCTGATAATTTACTCACCCTCATGTCATCCAAGATGTCCACGTCTTTCTTTCTTCAGTCGAAAAGAAATTACGTTTTTTGATGAAAACATTCCAGGATTTTCTCCATATAATGGACTTCATTGGGTGCCAAACGGTTTAAGGTCCAAATGAGAGTTTCAGTGCAGCTTCAAAGGGCTTTAAATGACACCAGACGATGAATAAGAGTCTTATCTAGCGAAACCATTGGTCATTTTATAAATAAATAAAAAAGTTTAAGTTTTATAAGCACAAATTGTTGCCTTGCTCTGTTCTGTGACTCTCCTGTTCGAACTCGTTCATCAAAATGAACAAATCTTTTTTCGAGTCATTTTGTTCATTTCATTCGTTTTGATGTTCTTGTTCTTAAACTTTTTTATTTATTTTTGAAATGACTGATCGTTTCGCTAGATAAGACCCTTATTCATCGTCTAGTGTCATTTAAAGCGCTTTGAAGCTGCACTGAAACTGTCATTTGGACCTTAAACCGTTTGGCACCCATTGAAGTCCATTATATGGAGAAAATCCTGTTATGTTTTCATCAAAAACCTTAATTTCTTTTCGAGTGAAGAAAGAAAGAAGTGGACATCTTGGATGACACGCGGGTGAGAAAATTGTCAGCAAAAGTTTTTTTAAAAAGTGAACTAATCCTTTAATTCACTGTCAAATTTCAAATGAATATTTGTGAACATTGTGCTTAAACGCTTGGTCTTCATTAAGCCTCTGTGATGTTCAGTGTGTATGTGATGGTGGGAGCAGACGTGCCGTTCTCGTCGTGCCTTCGTGAGGTGGAGACCCCACAGAACCAGCTGCGTTGCAGTCAGGAGATGGAGCCCGTCATCAGCTGCGATAAGAAGTTCAGAGCTCAGTTCAACATCGACTGGTGCAAGATCTCTCTGGTGAGCGCCAGATCTCCAGTCCATAAATATATACAAAAGATATATATATATATATATAAAAGACCAGGGACAATTGTTTGGATTTTATTTTATTTATTTTTTTATAATCTCAACTCCCATATTACTCCAACTCTACCTTATATCCAACTTTTGGTAGAAATAACATTTAGCTGTTTAAACAGTAATTTTATTATTAACAGACTTACTGAGAAAGACATTATAAGCATTTACATTTGTACATGTCATAGCGGAACAATCAGTTAATATTATTGATTAATGGAATTGTTATAATATTTAAAGCAAAATTCTAATTATATTAATTCTAGAATATAAATGATTTTAAATAAAGAAATATCTACTTTGAGGAAACACTGCTCATTGCACATTTAAAGATTAAATGTTTCAAATTTTATTTATTACATTTTGGTAATTATTAACAACCTAGAGATAAAGTAAATATTAGATTAATGTTAGAGGCATCAAAATGGATGTACAAAAACATAATTTTTCTACTTTACTACTGTTCAAAAGTTTGTGGTCAATAAGATAATATATATATATATATATATATATATATATATATATATATGTGTGTGTATATACAGTATATATTTTTTTCCAAGGATGCATTAAATTGATTAAAAGTGACAGTAAATACATTTATAATGTTACAAAAGATTTCTGTTTCAAATAAATGCTGTTCTTTCTCTTTCTAACTTTATATTTATCAAAGAATCCTCAGAAAAAAATGCATCACAGTTTCCACACAAAAATATTAGACAGCACAAATTATGATTTCTGAAGGATCATTCGACACTGAAGACTTAAAAATATTGTAATAAAAAATTTAAAATAGAAAGCAGTTGTTTTAAATTGTAATGATATTTCACAATATAACAGTTTTTACTGTATTTTCACAGGCTTGGTGAGCATAAGAGATCAGTAAAATTTAAAAAAATCTTCCCATCCCTAAACTTTTGGATGGTAGTGTGCCTCAAAATCAACTTTTATGGAGAAACACATTTGTACACGAACATACACGTAATATATAAATTCTGTACCAATGTGAAGCCTTTTTTGTTTCTGAGCCCATTTTGTCTTTGCTCTTAAAGGTGGACATCACTAAGGTTGTTCCTGTGCACAGTCACCGTCCTGACCCGGGCACAGGTGTCCTGCCAGACATCGGCGAGTACAACCCACCGTCTGAGTTACTGAAGAGTAGAGACTATTTCGCTGACTTCCTGATCACCCTGGCGGTGCCCTCAGCCGTCGCCCTGGTCCTCTTCATCATCCTCGGCTACTCCATGTGCTGCCGACGGGAAGGGCTGTAAGTTCGCTGTGCTAAACCCTTAGTGAAGGTCAATCTTTCACACACAAGCAAGCACAAACCTCCTCTTATACCTAACACTTATACTCAATGATCAACATTTAAACGATAAATTCGTTTTTGATCATTATAAATCATGTCGCACCAGTATGGTATCTTTTGAATCAATTAAGTGAAGATCACAAGGGCTTTCTAGTGTGTACAGCCAAATTTTGAAAGGCAAGACAGGGTCGCATCCCTGCCAAAAAGCAGCTTACCATCCTCATCAAGCATCAGTCTTGTACCATTTAATCATTAACCAAAGCACACTCAGTCCAAAGGTTCCATCTGTTGTATTTAGAGCCATTCCGACAGATGTTTCGTCCACATGATCAACCAATCCCAGTGTGTTTCCTGATGATGTCACTCACCATCAAAGCTCAGCCTGAAGGAGATCATCATCATCATCAGCAGCACCCCTCCATTGGCTTTTGTGTGGTTGTCTTTAACTATTAATATTAGAATTTAATTCAGTCATTTTGTTTTGTTTCTAGGGAAAAAAGAAACATGCAAACACCAGAGTAAGTGTGCCCTCTCCTTTGGTCTTGGCCTTTTCTTTCTCCTTTTTGGATCTTTATTCTTTTCTTTGGATAGCTCCCCCCTTCCCACGTTACGTTATCTCAAATCGTCCATCATGGTGACATGTTCATTTCCATCTCATTCATACAATCGCCTCTGTGTCTCCATGGTGTCATCAATGGGCAGCTGCTTTATATGCCAGCTTATTATAATAATTCATACTGTGGAATGAGGTAGTGTGATAAAATACATAAATATTCATAATTAGCCCTTTACGAAATTGATAAATAATAACCCAACCAGTGTTCTTTTAGTTTTATTATGGATTTAATATTAACATTTTGAAAACTTTTATATTTATATTATATATGTTAATTTTAGTTTAATGTGCTTTAATATGTATAATATTTTGAAATACTGCTATTTAGGTTTTGGCTTCAGATTTTATTTCTTTACTGTTAATAATTTCAGTGTTTCAACTTAAACTTCTTTCAGTTTATTTCCAAGATTTCGTTTAGTTTAAGTTTTTCAACTAACATTTATATTTTATTTCAGCTTTATATCAATTAACAGAAATGCCGTTAATAGTTTTAGATGATAACCCTGAACTTCAGTGTTTACATGAATGTTAATCGGTTGCATAGCAATGTCAGATATTCTATATTATACTTTTTATGCATGCGTTTGCTATAAATAGTAATTCGGTTGCTCCCTCCATTCCCAGCATTCAGCTGGTTCACCACAGCTCCATTCAGAAGTCTTCGAAGGAGCTTCGCAGCATGTCTAAGAACCGGGAGATATCGTGGCCTCTCTCGACACTGCCGGTCTTTCACCCTGTGAGCGGAGAGGTGGTGCCGCCCATCCACCCCGACAACTACGAGACCACCAGCATGCCGCTCATGCAGACGCAGACGTGAGTCTGGCACTTTTGCGTTAATTCTGGGGGGAAAATAAGGCACAATTCTTGTTTGGCAATGGCAGATCTGGTTTAAGAAGAGTTGAGAAAGTAGGTTGCTGTAATCCAATGTTTTTTATCTTATCTAAAAACAAGCTTGAATCACTCAGTACCCTGGTATTAACTCACTGAGGACTTGAAGAGCTTAGAACAGATCAAAACAACATATGTGTATTATCATCAGCAAGATTGACCTAGAAATTATGTGCTGAGATGATGCAGAACATGATAAAGGAGTTGGGACAGGAATCATTGAACAATTTTGGTTCTTTAAAGTTTGCATTAATGATTCTGTTTATGATTCTGTCTATTTTGAAAAGGAAATTCAGTTCCATTGCCAACTGTGTAATAGATAATTTTTTTTATAATAAAGACATTTAAAAGAATTCTTGCAAAAGAGTGTCATAAATGTAATCAAATTACTGGCTTTAACTTTATAGAATTAAAATAATTAAATATATTAAATAGAATTATAGAATTGAGTCATTTGTTTAGAAGTTGGAGCCATTAGTTTTTTTGAGTTGGACACTGATCGCAATGTCTCTTTTTTGCAAGAAATCCTTTTTTTAAGCAACTGCACATCATTCTGGCATTTTTTTATTAATGAAATTGGTGCTAGTAATGCCCATCTTGACCAAAGCTTTGTGTTTATTCACAGAAATCTTCAAAATCAGATCCAAATACCACAGCAGCAGATCTCTGGTAAGTTGAAGAATCTGATACTAATGTGATGCCTAAGCTTTCCATCCCATTGGTGCGAACAGATTTTGTAACAGAACAAAAACCAAATGTGGGCTGTGGTCATTCTTCTTTCAGAGATCCATGTTACTTGCTGTTTTGGTGCTTTAGGGCCAGATTTACTAGATAGGTCAAATTAGTGTGAGACTGCAATCCAATAAAAGCGCTGATGGGAGTGTAAAGTTCTGTGGGAGATTTACTGACAATGCGCACATTAAAGAACAGAAGCAGTCGGATCATTTCCATAGTGACCAACGCGAGCGCAAATTCACGTAGGGTCACAAACAAACAGAGCCAATGCTATTTAGGTGCATGTGATCTACTAACAACACATGCGCAAAGTGGCTTTAAGGAAGGGAAGGGGGTTTTCAGAGAGGCTAGCAATAGCGAACTAGCTTTGAAAGCATAAGATCCCACCCTCCCTTCAGAGCGTCTCTAAAGCCACACCTACTTCAAAACACATGAACACACAACTATCTCATGTCTCAAAGCACATATTACAATTACAATGAACATAACTTAAAGAGCATTGACCTGTACCACCTGACTGCTGCAGATTAATGGGTATGGAAATTTATATGTTGACAGGTTGGTTTCATTGCAATCAGAATATATGTATCTGGATGTGAGGAAACTTTTTACCAGCATAACAAAACATATTCTAGAACAAATTACCTACTCTGCCTTTAAGACATGCTTTATGGGTATTAAATAATGGCCTAAACCTTAGTCAATCCTGTTGCATGGTTCATTTAAAGGAGTAGTTCACTTTAAGAAAAAACTTTTACTGATAATATACTCACCCCCATGTCTTTTTCCTTAAAAAATTAAGGTTTTTGATGAAAAAATTCCAGGATTTTTCTCCATATAATGGACTTCAGTGGGAACCAAACGGTTAAAGGTCCAAAAGACAGTTTCAGTGCAAACTGTTCAAAGGGCTTTAAACGATTCCAGATGATGAATAAGGGTCTTATCATGCAAAAAGAAGTTTCAACGAACGAAATGAACGAATTGACTCGGGAAAAGATTTGTTCATTTTGATGAACAATTTCGTACAGGAGAGTCACGAATGTGTCACAGAACAGAGTAAGGCGACCATTCGAGCTTATAAAACTTAAACTTTGTTATTTATGTATTAAATGAGCGATTGTTTCGCTTGATAATACCCTTATTCATCGTCTGGAATCGTTTAAAGTCCTTTGAACAGTTCGCGGTATGTACTGAAAGTGTCTTTTGGACCTTGAACTGTTTGGTTACCAGTAAAGTCCATTATATGGAGAAAAATCCTGGAATGTTTTCATCAAAAACCTTCATTTCTTTTCGACTGAAGAAAGAAAGACGTGGACATCTTGGATGACATGGTGGTGAGTAAATTATCAGCAAAAGTTTTTTTTTAAAAGTGAACTACTCCTTTAAATCATTGCCTCTCTACAAATGCATATTCAGTAAGGTCAGTAAATAAAAAATAAGTGTCCAAGCCTTTTCAGCACTATTTTTTCACTGTGTGCCTTTAGTAAATCCTGACTGTATCTTTTTAATGGCAAAAGAGGGTTTATGTTTGTGCAAACCGTTAGTAAATCTGGCCCTTTGTCTCTGGCGAACCCCAGTGTCCATAATAATGAACTGCCATCAGACATCTGTGAAATCTCTTCCTGTCTAACATACTGTTCATTCATTCATGCTAACAAAGGAGATAATTATTGTATGTCAACTTTTCGGAGGCTAGAGGCAAGTATTACTCTTTGCATCTGCGATCATGTGTTTAAAAAAAGTATCAGATAAACCGTTTCATGTTTCTGAAATGTTCCTCTCGTTATAGGTAAATGGTATTCCTGAAGAGAGAAAGGTGGCCGAAGCTCTAAACCTGTGATCTCATGTGTCTTCACGTTTATACCTGTTTAATCCTGCCAAATGTGCATGTCTAGCTGTGGCCTCAAGCTCCACGATTTGTGTTCTCATGCACATATCTGAAAGAACAACATTATTCAGTGTCAGAACAACTAATGTTGATATGGGCACATTAAAAAATATACTTTTAAAATAGTATCAACATCAAAAGGTACACTATGTAATTTTCAAAATTTATATAATAAGCGAGTGCATCATTAATCCATCTTCCAAACTGCGTTTTTATCTTATCCCAAATCACTACGTTATGCCTATCTATAATAATTGTTTATATTGGGACTATTTTAGATTGAGTGGGACAACGGCCGTGGAGTATCCCAGTACTCGCGTGACTCGTCATAGACATAAACAGAGAGAAGTAGCTCCGGCTACAGTGTTCATCCTCAAGACGCATTGCATTTTTTATTAACCGCTAGAGTGCCAAAACTTACATAGTGTACCCTTTAAATATGGACTGGAGTCAAGCTTTTTTTTTTTTTTTTTTTACGAGTGAACAAACTCACTTTTTGCCAAATACCAGTCGTCTTTGGTCTACCACTAATGAAGTCACATTTAATGGGATCTAAACAGGTTGATATTGTTCGTTTTGTTCTTACAGTATACGAGTAAATATGTTTTGATAAATAAACTAATACACTTGCCACTACATAAGATTGGCTCATGTTTGTTCTGGGGGTGTGTAGATACTTAAACAGAAATGAAAATGTTTTTGAGAAGGGATTTATCAACATTGACTGTACAATAAGATGAATGCATTTCCAAATTAAATGAATATTTTCACATTTTTGGACAAAATGTATTGTACACACACAAAACCATTTCCTTTGAGGTCTTTGATGTTTCTTTAAATAAAAAATATAGCAAACTATACAAATAATTTGTTATATGAACAAGGTGATAAAGACAAATAAACATTTACGGTCAGTTGCTTGAATGTGCCAGTTAATGGCAGGCTGAACAAAATTTGCTTTGCTTAGAAAAATGCATTTTCACTGATGCAAAAAAACAACAACCTTGTAGCTGCTTTTAAATTCACATATATTAAATTAAAAATGTAATATTTTGATAGTAAATGCAACTTTTCAACCAAAATGTCAGTATTTGTGACTAGAAGGAATTGCCACAATGGAAAATATTAGCCTCAGACAATATGCCTTATGTCTTAATGGCACATAATGAAGGATCTATTTACAGCATTATCATCTAACTGAGAATTAAATTGAATTCTTTTTTACATGTAATATATTTTAAAAAAAAGTTACACATGAACATCAGGCTTCAGTTTCCGCAATTCAAGCAGTTGGAGAGGGCATGAAGACGCACATTAAACAATAAATAATGAGGTCACGGATCGTAGACAAAACTGGCTCTAACATTAAAGGGATAGGTCACCCAAACATACATTTTTTGTCCTTAGTTGTTCCTAACCTGTATGAGTTTCTCTCTTCTTTTGAAAACAAACAATATTAAAGTATGTTGTAATCAGATAGTTGATGGACTCCATTGACTTACCAACAGTCTTTGAAATATATTCTTTTGTGTTCAACAGAAGAAAGAAAGGAATGGAACAACTTAAGTGAGTTCATTTTTGGGTGAACTATCCCTTTAAGCTGAATTCATATGAACAGAATAAACCCATGTGGTAAACAAACAAATAACTGGCTCAAATGCGTAGTGTTTTGAATGCGTCTGAGCAAAGCATGTTGATTTTGTCTTAATAGTTTACATTTCACATCAAATGCTATTCCTCCAGTAGATGAAAACATTCTGACGGAAGCAGAATGTGCTTATGGATTCCCTTAGTAGTGGCACCACCCCATTTTCCACATCTAGCATACATCTTGATGCAGACGGAACATATTCGCTGCCATTTTAAAACAGCAATAAATGGATTTTCATGATTCCATAATCCAAAGGTTGGAGGTTGTTCACCTGAAGGATAAAGCTGCTGGTGTGATATGAACTGAAACACTTTTTTTAGTTGTAAAGAAATGTTTGGTGCACGGGCTGATGGTGCGCTGCCAGTTTTACAAGGAATGTATAACTCCTTCACATTTTGCAGTCATGGGCATCAATGACAAAACAGAATGGGAAAACCATGAACAAGAGACAAACACAGAACCCCAGTACAAAATATTAACATAAATTATTAAATACTGCCCATAAAACACACCTCAAAGCTATGAGAGAAGAGCGGACGGAGCACAGGTGTACTTGACCTATTATCCGCACACAGTCCGTGTGATTTGTCTACTGCAAACAACCTGCTTAAGAATCCTTCTTTAATCACTGTCGCTCCTGAGTCCTTGGCCTCCGTACCATCTTGAGTTTTGTATACATACCAGTGCCGTAAGAGTTCCCTAGATCAACTCATAGGAAAAGAACGTTCTAGGCTGGTGGAGTTTATTTGTTTTATACACAAAGATCTATTAGGATCCTGTTACTCTTTTTGGGGCAGTATCAGTACCAGCGCTAGAAAGACTCCTGCCCCCAGCAGTCTCTTCAGTAGAGTCCCGCTCTCTTTAGGAATGACCACCTGGGCCAAGTCATTGGTGATCTGGGAGATCTCATGAGCTACACAGACAAAGATGAATGTGCTGACGATAATGTTTAAGGAGGGGTTTCCTGGAATGAGGACCAGGATGCCCTTGGTGTCCGCTGCCAGCCAAATGTGATACTGGCATATGAAGAGCTGGTGGGAAAACAAGCAGCATGTTAGAATGGTTGCAATAAACTAGTTTGTTAAAGTGCCCCTATTATAATATTTTAAAGGTTATTGGTTTGCTTTTGGAGGTCTGCGTTCCATGCATCCAAGGGAAAAAAAAACCAACAAACGTTATTTTTCTGATTTTGTAGGTCTTATGTCAATCATGATGTCACAGAACCATTTTTATAGTATCAACTAAAACAAACTTATTTTAAAAACAAACTCTTCAGATTACATCAACGTGATAGAAACTACAGTAAATGACAGAAACTATCTTTGGAAAAAGGATATGTGAAGTGTATTTTAATTGTTTAGTTGGTCTCACGTCCCGTTGAACATGGGGAGGCGGGGTTTATGACCTATACTAGGACCGACCACCAGGGGGCGATCGAGACGTTTTTGGCTTCACGCTTGGATTCAGCAAGTATAATCGGCATTGGGCCCGTCGGTGAAAGAGAGAACTCTGATTGGCTGTTCAGTTTAGTGAACGAAGAAAAATAGCACAAAACGGCGAGCAAAGATGACGGTACAAAGGCAGTACTAATTTTACTCCATCTTGTTCCTGGGCAAATATTTTAATAATAACATGAGCCGAGTGGAATGAAGAAAGTGATCAGAATGATTGGTATTCAAAACGGAAAGTAAGGGCTGCTTTGTTTACGGTTTGTCTATCTGCAGCCTGAGTCGATTTCCATTTTTGAATGAGGAATATATACAAATATATCTGCAGAAATCCCCTCTGCTGTAGTCCTTTCAGTGTGTTCAAGCACAGAAAAATTGCCCAGACGCAGGCGCCAACAGTCGGCTTTCATCACCCCTTTTCTATACCATACTTTGATTGGTCAGACGCCCCAATCTGTTGTAATGCGTGTCGGAAACAAAACACCCATTACCGTTTCTGAATTTCAGCTCCAGAGGCTTCCTCAGTACTTGATTCCAAGTGATACAGACAGTAACGATACAGTCAGTTTCACCGTATCAATTACTCAGCCTTCTGAAGTGCATACAAAGTCAATTTGCTCTCGCTGCGCAGAAAACAGCATCTTCTCAACATGACGACAACACGAACCAGGGCGTTTTCACACTGTGCACATTTGCTGCGCATGATTGTTCCTGGCGCCCCCTGCAGTGTTGGTCTGGTTTCACACTCAGCTTGATTCCATCGAACCCTGGTGCATTGTTGTTCATCTTTTGGATGTTTCCATTTTGTCAAAATAGCGAATAACTTGAACACAATGAAAATCTGTGTTGGGAAATCTTTTGACCTCATGTGATGTAACGAATTGCGTGGATTCCCCCTGACTGGATTTCTTCCTCAGAATTTCACCAAACAACTGTAAATGCGAATGCACCTTAATACTTACGTATTATGGCTAAACATTCAAAACATTAGAATAGTTTATTTCCAGCATATTTTATTCAACATAAATGCTGGCCTATTGGACTTCCATCAGATATTACTGTAGATGCATTCCCTGTTCATTTTATATTGAAAGAGGCACAAGTTGGAGTACGTCCTAATCAACCTTATGCCGAAAATGTTCATAAGACTAACATGACACCTTCATAATCATGACATGACACAAGGAAGTTTTATGCATGTTTGTGACAACTGTCATTAAGTGTCTTTCACTCAGTTATGACATTTTGAATGCAAATATGACATTGTTTGAGATGTCTTTGTTATGGCACCTTGACATAAACCAATACATCATAACCTGTCAGTGTCTTTGTCATGACAACTTGATATTACTAAGACAACACAACCTGTCAATAAACATGACAGAGCAGATTAATTATCAAACTTAAGAAACCACCTAGTTTTATTGGTTAAAATTACATGAAACTGTCATGTGGTTGGTTTTGATATTGGCTGTCATGAAGCCATTATAACTTTTTAATGACAAATTCAATTAGTACCACTGTAGTTGAGGCCACAAAAAATATTCATGACACAGTTATAATGGCCTCATGACAGCCAATGTCAAAGCCAACCACATGACAGTTTAACTTAATTTAAAGTCAAGTTGTCATGACAAAGACAGGTTATGATGTTATGGTTTATGTCAAAGACATCTTAAACAGTGTCATATTTGCATTACTAAGCGAAAAACACTTAATGACAGTTGTCATAAACATGCATAAACCCTACATGGTTATGAAGGTGTCATGTCAGTCTTATGCACACCCCTTCAATTAAAGTGATACCCAATGTTTGTTTGCAGTGAAGCTTGCACTCTTACCTCTAGGGAGATCTTTCCAAACCATGCAAAGAATGAGCTGTACAAAGAGCGAGCATAACCAGGAATATTCCGGATCAAAATGAAAGCAAGAATCTGTGGGCAAAAAAAGCGCAGTGATAAAAAGTCAGCAGCCTCAAAGGCACAACAGAACAAAACAAAAAGCCTTTTGAAATGGATCCATTATTTTAGGTTGCAAATGCTCTTTCTGTTCTCACAAAAGCCATCTGACTGTGTGAATCAACTGTAATAAAAGGTTAGTGTGGTCAAGAACAGTCAAAATAATTCATTTTTTACTCTTTTCAAGTGTTGGTTAAAGCGGTGTACGAGAACAACTTTACAAAAAAGCAAATAGTGGAATGAGTACTTGCCTGGACAACAGAAATGTATGGATGCATCTCATTACACTCAGACTTGTTTTTGCACCCACTGGCCCAAATGGAGTATGTCTGTAAACAAAAGAATCCATTGTGAAGAAATCATATTACCATTTAAGTGTCTCGAAGAGCGACAGAATAAGCCTTACCAAAAAAGAAACCACAGAGATGAAGAGCAGACAGTTGGAAATCTTGTTGGAGAAGAGAGGCTCTCCTTTGCCTTCAGACAGCAGCTGACATTTCTGCAGGAGCAGGTATATGAAGGCAAAGAGCATCCCATTGATCACAGCCTAGCATCCAAAAGAGCAGACAAAATCCATTACTTCAAGATGTGAATTTGAGAAATGTTTTACAGGTCTTATTCATTCAAATGAAAGTATTTCACGTACAAATCGATCAAGTTTCCACCTGAACCACCACTCATGGATGCTACCTTGCAGTTCAAAGAGCTTTGAAACAGGCCAAACAGAGAAAACACTCTCAAAGAGTTCCTGCAACAAACACAAAAGTTTTAGATGCTCTCATTTGTTTTGATGGTCCACTTCAGACATTCTACTAACTATAAGTAACTTTGCAACCACATGTCAACTATCAGTCATTAGAGACCGTCTGCTTAAAGGGGTCATGAACTGGCTTTTAAATTTTTTTCATATTGTTGTCTGAGGTCAACTTATGATGTTCGCTTGATTTTTACATTAACAAACATCAAAATGAATAAGTAATAGGCTATTTTCTACCCTAGTTTTGAGCCTAGATCAAAAACGCTCAGTTTTTATGGGCGTGTCACATTGAAGACTTGGAAGTAAACGCCCACTAACAGTTTAGCATATCATAATGAGTTTCACTCTCGATCTATACGCGTGTAATGTGCGAATCGGTGGGCGGGGCTACACCGGCCGTGTTGAGGAAGGCGTTGATCTTCTGCAGGGGGTGGTGTTTTATCCTCTTTGACGTCATAGTTTCCCACTTTGAAAAAAGAGTGGTTTGCTGAGCCTGGTGTCAATAAAAGCTTTTATTGGACTAACAAGGACTTTTTCAGTTCTGAAACTTACAGGATATTTTTATAATATGATGACCTTTTAGATTTGATTTCTCAGTTCATCACCCCTTTAATATCTGTTAACACTTTATTTTAGTAATTTTGTAAGCACGTCAACTTATTCTCCTAACCCAAACCTAACAGTCTACTAATAATCTAATGCAAGTTGGTTGACATGTAAATGTAAAGTTCCTTATAGTTGGTAGAATGTCTAAAGTGGACAATCGAAATAAAGTGTAACCAAAAATGTATAGCAGTACAGTCTAACTGTAAGAGAGAAACTCACTTGTGAGTACGCAAAGAAGCAGATGAAAAGAAGCAAACCCAGAAGTTTCAACAAGAGTGCCAGATTCCAAAATGCACTACCTGTACATAATTGAGGAAAAAGGATAAAACAATAATTTAAGGCTTAATATATAAAATCAAATGATGTTAGGATTGTTTAGAGTGTAATAAATGCAAACATTGTAATATGACTTACCATTGGCTTGCATCTGAAGAATCTGTGGCCACCATGCCATTGTGGCATAAATAACTGCAAACCAAAAGGTGACAAGAGGCACAAAGTAATAGAACTGATAAGGCCTGTCCATAACCAGACACAGCACCACCACAAGAAAGTTAAGCCTGAAGAGAACCTACAAGACAAAAAGAAAGGACTCATTATTTATATCAATGCAATATTACAATTCAATTTCTATTTATGAACCACCTTTAAAGTCCCTGTGAACCGGAAGTTGCAAACGACTTTTCTCCAGTGTTGTGACATATTTCCGAGAGAAACGGAATACTAAATGAGGCAAAATAGTGGGCGTGGCTTTTTTTTTCAACTAGCACCTGATTGGATCTAGAAAAATGGGTGTTTCATTCTTAAATGGAGGATGACGCAAGTTTACATACGCTGTCAATCAATGCTCGCTCGACACTAGCAAACACACAGCAGCTGTCAGTTCGAGGGGTGTGGTTATGGATGTTAAGGAGACACCCAAACCGTAAAGCCTAAGTCATCAGGCAAGGTCCTCCAATGCAGAGGGGAGGGGCATTTTCAAAATTTGATTAAAGATTACGAAGCCAAAAATGTATGTATGAATTGTTCACCACAAAACGATCAATTTAGGCAAACAAAGTAAGTATGGTCAATTTTGATTACATGGGGACTTTAAAAACAACCAAAGTGCTGATCAGAAAAGAAGAAAACTAAGAAATAGAAACAGGAACACACAACAATAATAAAACAATAAATCAAGCCTAATATCAAGGATTATTGAAAGCCAAATAGAATAAATATGTCTTTAGAGCAGATTTGAAGGCGGAAATAAAGGGAGCTAATCTGATGTGAAGAGGTAGACTGGACCTGCAATCGCAAACACGCGATTGCCTCGTTTATTAAGTTTAGATCTGGGCATGATGAGTAGACAGAGACAGAGTTCATCATACTGTGCAATTATGCATTATTATTAGCATCTTCACTGATTAATACGTTTGGTCACATCCACTTTAAAACAACATTTTTCTACATTGCACAATAACAAAAAGTAAACAAAACTATAATATAGCTTTAATAAATAGTATGTTAATATATAATCTACTGTTCGAAAGTTTGGGGTTGTTTAGATTTTTTTATGTTTTTGAAATAAGTCTCTTATGCTCACCAAGTCTGCCTTTGATCAAAAGTACAGTAAAATATTATTATTATAAATTAAAATAATTGTTTTCTATTTTAAAAATGTCATTTATGATGCAAAGCTGAATTTTCAGCATCATTACTCCAGTCTAGAATGTCACATGATGAAATCATTCTGATGTAATGATTTACTTCTCAGAAAACATTTATTATTATTATCATAACTGTTAAAAACTGTTGTGCTGCTTAATAGTTTTTGTAGGAAAATTTGATTCTTTGATTAATTAAAAATGTAACATTTTTAAAATAGAAATCCTTTGTAACATTATAAATGTTATGCTGGTACATTTGATCAATTTAAATGTCTACTTGCTGAAATAAAAGTATTATTTTCTTTATTAAACTAAAACCATTTCAAACCACTCAAACTAATGGTTTCAGGTTAATTTTAATTATAACCAGTTTACATTTGACATTTTTTTTTTTTTGACACTGGTGCATATGGGAAAAAAAAGATCCCCAAAGTCAGGCAACAATTACCTGACACACTCTGTAAATGCCAAAGTCTCCCTTTAGCCAGAAGAAGGAGAAGTGTCCATATCCTGTTTGGAAGAGATACGCAGCCACCAGGACACGGACATGCATGTACACGGGTATGAACTGAGGAAGCAAAGAGATACAAAAAGGAGATTGAGAGTGCAGTCATTACTAAAGCAAAGTAACCCAAAATAAAAAAAAAAGTTTTTTAAACATACAGCACTAGCTCCAGAAATGTGATAAATTAGGATAACCAGCTGCATCCATCCCTTCCATTCGTCTGTTTGCTCTCTGTTAAGGAGTTTTGTCTGTGAAGAAAATGTTTCATTGTTTGAGAATCGCTATTGACAGTTTCTTTTGGACTAGAAAACAACAATTTCCCAAGAGTCTGTGTTACCTCTTTGCTGTTCTCATTGTAGAAGATGCCCAGAACGAAGATGTAGATAAGAGGGATGAAAAAGGTAGAATGTGTGTAGAATTTCTGTTCCTTCATAAAGATGTCTGCTCTGTCGCACATGTAGAAGTACAACATGATAAGGCTCATTTTGCAGATGGCCAGTAAAGGTCCCTTTGAGTTGAGTTGACCCACAACAGAGGGTTTCTTCTCTTCTCCGCTCTCCACATCAGGAGTGGGCCTGCTCTTATGATGTCTACTACAGCCCAGTAGGAGGAAGCAGATGATGGACACCAGGAAGAGACCAGCAGCTAGCTTCTGATGGACGCTTAGTGGAGGGGCGCTCTGACAGCAAGAGCCGTCGATGGGCTTCAGGATCTTGTTGCACATGGAGTTCATCAGAACCATGGCACCCTGAGAAAAAGGTAAATTCCTATTTGTTAAAGAAGGATTAAAATGGAACAACAAATTGTCAAAAACCAAGGAAAACCAAGGATGTTTTCACACATGGCAATTTTGTCAGATCCATACCAAAAAAAACAACAAACAAAGTGGTCTCAGCCCGCTTAAAAAAATTGCAAGAGTGACCGAATAAAAGGCTGGACGAGGATCAATATTGGTCCAGCGTTCGCTCGCTGACGTGAGTTAAAGGAGGAGGGGTGTCCGACCGATGCTGGCCGTCAAAAACTAAATAACTCAGTAAACCTCAAGCGGCAACCTCCCCGTCTCCCTCTTGAAACCAACACGGAAGTGAATTAAACTGCAATTTATCGAGTGGCTGCTTGAGGCAGGCTGCAGAAGCGAGTCAAATCTGTATCTCCACCTAGTTAAAATGCCCAACTTTACAGCAGAAAAAAACATGTTTACAGCCTGGAGCAAAAAGTGGCTTTGGTCTATAGAGCTCATTTTTCCCTTCATGACAACTGTGAGGGGGGTGAATTTTTTTACAACTCATCTGTTTAAATTAGATTTAAGCCTTAAATTACTGCATAATTAAGGGCGTGGACACTTGAGTGACAGGTGGATTATTCTTGCCGCTGCTTTCACTGCTAGTCGTTTGTCTGCTGTCTGTTAGCGTCACAATCAGCTGTGTTTCTGCTTTTTCCGGGATTATTTCATACAATTTAATACATGTATTATACCTTCGCCCATGCACGCCGTTGGATTCCGTCGTGTTGAGTATGGAGAGAACGACCAGCGCTGTGTTTCCAGCTGTTTCCCTCGTTTCGTATGCACTTATGGATGTCTGATGATTTCAGTGCTTTCTCTCCGTCCATGCAATAGATGCACACCCTTGAATGAGCGCGGATTTTTTGTTTATTTACTGTTTTTACCATCTGAGAAACTGAGAGGCGGCCAAAATCAGATTGTAAAATGGACTGAATTAAAGCTCTTTACGAACTTGACATGAGATGCCGACTGACATGTGCTTGCCTTGAATCACTGTCACATGCACAAGCTTAGAGCAATATTGTAAGTTACTAATTCGTTTTTAACTAGCAGAATAATAATGCATCACGATGCACATTGTTGACTGCTTGTATGTTGTGAGAAATGTGTGTGATCACTGATCTGTGTTATGTACTTGTATACATGCTCTTAACTAATTGCCCCTTGTGAGATGAATAAAGTTGATAAAAAAGTAATGTAAATAGTCTAACTTTTAGTTACGTCTTAACTATTATAATATTTCGAAGGGCAAAAACATGAACTTTAACCATTGGCTTTACTTTTTCAATTCAGCGCGAGGGCAGTAGCATATAGCATTAGTACCTCAGCTCCACCCGCGTCCCGCCTCTTTGCCCATTTTAATTTATCCGGTAGTGACGAGAGGTGACGCACTGCCAAGATGGCGACGGCCGGCCCCGCCCACTTTAGGCTTCAAAAACGCTCTTCAGAAACCTATGGGTGACGTCACGGATACTACGTCCATATTTTTTTTACAGTTTATGGTAAACCTGTGTCTTAATGGTGTGTGCAAGTTTGGTAGGGGCTACATTCTTGCAAGTAAATAATACATGATTAGACGAACACTATAAAAGGATAACTATCTAATGTCTGAAGGCTGATAGTCATGATTATTTATTTATTTTTCTGGTGAAAGTGTCTTTCAAATTTGACTTTTCAAATTTGCAGATTCATCTATGGTAGCTTGATATTATAATATTGACAATATGTCATTTATCTACCAAAAAACATTGAATTGAATTAGCATATCCATTATGTAAAACACTATAAAGGCGCTGACTTGTAAACAAGAGCTACGCGATCTTTTGGCGTTTGAAAAAAATAATCATCATGTACCTGGGATGAAGACATTTCACACGCAAAACTGTAGAGTTCGGGGGTATCGCTTGTCAACAAATGCACGCGTGTATTCCCTGGCTTCACTAAGACAGATTTTACGACAGTAGTAGAAGACAATACCGTTTCCCAACTGTAGGGGGACCCCGAGAGCAACATTTCAAAAGTTACCTAATGCTGCTTTAATCCCTGATTTTTAAAAACGCCCTCAGGCTCAACTATTGACTTACAACATCTTGTGTGCTCTCAGGAAGGTGCAGGCCATCCACCGACTGGGAAATGGTCTCCATAGCAGCTTGCCGAGAAGCCTCTAAGAACTTGAGCTTCTTTTTGCTGGTATTTAGAGTACTAACCGCCGCCTCGTTGTACAGATTTATCTGCTCGTTTGTGATCATCTTTCGGCTGTCACTTAGCACATCCTCATAAACAGGATCTAAAATAAACAGGCAGAAAGTAAACATAAGACAGGAACATAAAGGGTTGTTCCAGTGCATCTGAATATCAAAGCTCACCTTGCAGAACCCAATAGACTTCACTGTGCTCGGCTAGTTTTTCCAGTGTGTCTGATATAGCTGAGAGGTTTGCTTTGTACTGAAAGAGTGCCTCACTCTTGCCGTTGTGCAACTTAATGGACCACTGTTGAAAACCACAATCATCAGTCAGTAGAATGATGTTCAACAATAGCACCTGAAGACATCATGACTGCAAACACGAACTCACCGTAGCAGCACCAATAATGATGACATGTGGTTTGGAAGCAGATCCCTATAATTATTGAGAGATGAGACAAGTTTCTTAAGCCTATGATTTAATAACATGCCTATCCAGTACAATTTAACCGTCTTTACCTCTGTCCATAACATTAACTGCTCCTTCAAGGAATTGTTCACTTCTGCATACCACAGAAAGTCCTAAAAGGTAAACATATGGAACATATTTTGAGTTGTTATATAACAATCAATAACTGTGATGGATCAAGTCTGCTGCATCGGACACAATTAATTAAAAACACTTACCACAGTGGAATCACCATTTACAAAGGGGATGTTTTCGTGCTGGTGAAACAATTGATAGAAACAGGAAAAAAAAATTATTTACTCATAATAATTACATATTTCTTACCGTTATTGCATCTACTGTAGATTTGTAATAATAAAGGATTAGCATTAAATGTATTGTTATATCCATAAAACTTTACAATGAGGTTCATTAGTTAATATATTAACTAACACGGACTAACCATGAGCAATACATTGGTTACAGTATTTGATAATCTTTGTTAATGTTAGTTAATATAAATACAGCTGTTCATTGTTAGTGCATAGTGAATTACCTAATGTTAACAGGAATTCAATAAAGTATTAGTAAATGTTGAAATTAAGATTAACAAAGATTAATAAATGCTGTGCAGTTCATTATTAGTTCAAGCTAACTAAATGTAAAGTGTTACCGTTACATCTTTATAAAATGCACTATACTTGTTAATTTTGAAAAATAATTTAATTACAAATTATATTTTTTTTATACAATTTCTTTTTATTAAAGATTATGGGTCACATATTTTTTTAATAAAAAAAAATATTTGCACAGATAAATCATTCACAAACACTGGAACATTCCATAAAAATAAGAAAAATATTAATTTTGATTCCATGGTGATTTTAAATCATGTCAAATGAAGACTCGAGTCACATCAGTGGCCTAAAAATGTTACTTTATCCTACATTGAGTTTGGGATGACATGTTAGGATGAATCAGCAAACCTTTGTCTAACACTTTCACTTACAAATGAATCATATCTTACAAAAGTAAAAAGGGTCTTCAATACAAAAACAAAAATTATCGCATGCATGTTAATGTCTATAAACAACTGCTTTTGCCTGAGGCATATTTTGAAATACCAGAGCTAATCTTGTGGTAAACAGGAACAATTACACCCTTTCATTTTTAATTTAAATATAGCCTTTGACTGGCGCAATTGCTTGGGGGCATCCAACAAAACACCACTTTGAAGTACATTTTCACTCTGATTTGAAATAGATTATACCAGTTAACCAAAAGAAGGCATACTGAAGTGAATAGCAACAACACACCTTGTTTCCAACTTCTTTCACCTCAGGGTTGACCATTTTGACGAAAGAATAGAAGAGCTGACGTATTCTAGAGTCACCTACAAAAGCTATTCTCTTCTCTCTGAGGCAAAGGTTTGCTTCACTGAAAGACAACAAAAAGGACTGTAAATTCCAGCCCACATTTCTACCCCACATACATCGTTGACGTCCATTAACAATGACAACATGACGTACGTGCTTTTGTACTTGTGTAGCATGCAACCGTAGGGCTGCCATACATTGTCCCCTAAAAAACGTCCACTGGATAAAAGCCAGTCGCATGTGTCACTGCCTGAAAGAAACGACACATAATTACAGTGAATAAACCAAATTCAGGAAAGGGTCGGGAAGCTTTTATTTCTTTTTTATAAAGGTAACTTGCATTTTTATTTCAAATAAATGTTTTTCATTTAAATGTTTCACTGAAACATTGATGTTTCAGTATCAATGTTTTTCAACATTGATACTAAATTTTTTTATTTTTGAGCAGCAGATATGCATATTAGAATGATTGAACACTGAAGACAGAATTCTGCTTTGCATCACAGGAATAAATTACATTTTAAAATTCAATGTTTCATTTCTTTATGTGCTACTCATGCCGTTTTTTAATTACCTCATGGCTGTTGAAAAATCTCGTGGCAATAAAGAACTTGAACTACAGGTCAAACCAGACCAACTGTGAAACTTGTTTCTTTAATTCCTTTACTACTGATGTAAAACCACATTTAAATTTATTTTAAACAAAGTAAGTAAATGATGTAAACAAAGATTGAACAATGATGAAATTCTTTCATGCATGTTAAAACAAATATGCACCGCACAATCCTGAGAGATCACAATATTATCAACTGAACATGCCTAAATATTAAGATGAAATCAATAGATATGCTTCAATATAAGGCAACAAATGTCAGGACTTGATTAATGATCAACCATGGATTACTATAAGCTTTAATGAAGGTGCCTGAAGTAGACTTGAGAATAAACATAACGTTAACTTACTACAAACATTTGACTGGGTTTCAAAATCCGTTAGTTAACAATAGTAGAAACGTGTATAATGCCCCCAGAATAGGCAGTTCATTATGAGATTTAGCAATTTGGCGCTATGCGTCAAAACATTATGTCTAACTGGGAATGTAACTGTGATGACAGACGCTATAGCCAGCTGGGCGACAGCACTGATTCGAGCGTTGTTCTGGTATTGATTAGCTACAGTCTTTGACCAATTAAATGTTGGGCTTCGCAATAAAAGTGCACCCAATAGACGCCCAATTTAACAAAGCAACCACAATTTAATTGAGTTTGCAAGAGCAAAGCTGCAGCTGCTATGACAGACACGCGCACACGCTGACTTAAAACATTGAGTGACAGCTTTAGCATTGATGCTAACACAAACACGCAGCTCTTTCTCACACAGCGCAACACAAACACGTACCTCCATAATGTCGTGAAGCCGAGTGAAACACAGTGAGAAGGACGACGGCGGCGACAGACAGCAATTTAGCATTTTTTATGCTGAAATACTGATTTATTTCCCGTTTGCCTAGGCTATAGGCCAGGATCGCCATCTTGGCTCCTCCATGACAACAGGCAGACAGACGATCTGCAGCGAAGCTGACGGAGGAAGAGCCGAGCAGCGCGTGCGCCTCTCCCTCGGTTTCTGCAGTCGCCAGCAGAGACGGTTGACCGGAGTCGGATGCTGCTGATGTATCAACTTTCATATCCAGCTTTCAGGTTTTACTTTCTTCTGCTTACTTTCTTTCGCCTTCCGAGTAGCATTGGATTTCCCAAACAACTCCTTTAGTTTCTTTATTACTTTTAACTGCCCTGCTGGACTTGTTAAGCTGAAGGAAAACACATCTAAGTTAACGTTAGTTTGTCTTTGCACCTTTCCGCCCTATATCATGAACAAGACAAACAACTGTGCAAATGACATGTTGAATCATCCTCTTCTTCCGTATCTGCTGAATGTAGCATATCAAGTTGTTCTGGTTGGAACGAAGTAGCTATTGTGTTGTGTAAGACAAGCACAGTGCCAAACATAGTTCGGGTGTAAGAAATCACTTGGCAATTATAAAATGGTCGAAAAGACATTTCATGATGAACTAATAGCTCACAAATGTCCTGTCCCACTATGACAAGCCTTTTTAGCTTTTAATCATATGCATTATTGATATCAACAATTCAGTTTTCACTAACAATAGTTATGGATATCAGAAATTAGATTTCTTCTAGTAATGGAAATTTTTGATATCAGTACATTTCAACTAGTAAACAGTATAATTCTTGATATTGAATTTCAACTAGTAAAAACCATTAGGCCTATTAACAATAGTCCCTCTATACAAACAACTGCTATTCTAACTCGAAATAAAAAAATATATATTTTTCATAAAACAGGACGCACGTAACTGACACTTTTCACACGCCACACATTTGTGTCACGCAGAGAAAAAATATAAAATAAATTCTCAGCTCTCAGAGTGTCATTTCTTTTTCGAAATTCAAACAATAAATACCGCTTTGGCCTCAATTTACCGATCATCTAGTAAATAAACACGAATGAACAATAGGTAGGCTATGTTGAAAGACAGACAAACTTTAATGTATCCCTCATAGATAATATCGATCAATCAGCAGGGTTGCCAGATGCCAGCAAGGTTTTCCAGCCCAAAACCTCGTCAAAAACCGCGAAAATGCACAAAAAAACGCCCATTTTTTTGTCTTGTTTCTCGCTATGGTTCCCTTTCGTAGTCACTTCGAGTTACGTCAGAAGTGACGGAGATTGGGGGTTTTGCATAGAAAGCCAATCCTCTTCGAGTATTTAAAAACGAGCCAATGGCATGCAATGCCTTGGGGCTGTGGAAATTTGCATAGCGTACTCCGCCCTACTCCGTGAGTATAAAAGGAGGAAGTGAACGCAACCGCAGTATGTTTTCGCTTCGGAGCCAAGAGAACCTCTTCACTCCTGAAAGCCATTCTCACTGTTTCAAGACTCTTCGAGAACGAGCGTCCTCTTCAGTGTTGGTGTGACGGCGGTACCCAGCGAGATTCTGCATGGCCTGCGATCTGAGCAGTGGTCTGCCAGACTTTGCGCTTCTCCCTGGTCGCTTCAGCGCTGAAAGAGTGAATTTCCTCCTCTCATTGAAAGAGCTACACGCGCACGTCTTTTTAAAGACGGTTCGCTTGTGTTCTTCTGGGTGTGGTTGATTTCTGTCGTCATCTGATGGTCACGAGCGCTGCTTTGTATGCCTGGGCATTTCAGCATGCAGCAGCAGCGTTCGTGGATGACTCATGTTCCTTCTGTGGGAACATGACCATCTCTACACTGAGGTCGAGACTCAATGATCTCACTTGAGTGAGAGTCCCGGTCCCCCCCGCTCGATCGGTCTCCTCCATAGGGGGCCCGTCGACCCGGGGACCTGGTGATTTTACGGTGATGGTGTGGGACAAAGTCCCGACGATTCCTCGGGCCACACCTCCCGCCTCAGTGCGAGAGCCAGCGAGCGTTAGTTCGATTCAGTCGGTTGCTTCTTCGGATGGCACCGGCTGCTTCGGGCAGCGCTCCAGATGATGATGCGATGTCGATCACAGCATCACTAGGCGGGCTTGACTCCTCGGGAAGTGAGGATGCGGCCGCGTTGCCTCCCTCGGGAGCATCAGCGCCGCTGTGTCTGATCCCGCGATGATGGCCGTGCTATCTCGGGCCTCCGTGAGCATCGGGTGGGGGTGGAACTCCGCCCTATCCCGATCTCTCGCGGCTGAGTAATTGGTTTTTGGGTAACGCTGCCGCCTTACGGCCACGCCCAACCCTAATTTCCTTTTTTCCCCGAGTTGCATGCGGAACTGACACGCACTAAAAATAAATAATAATAAAAAAAAAAAAGCGTGATTCAGTTCCCCGCCCTTCCTCCCCTCGGCGATGCGGCTGTCTGTGGGTACGCTGGGGCTCCCCCGGTCAACCGGCGGTTGCTCTCAGATGCCCCTCCAAAGCCTATGGGTTCTCGTCGTCTATGGCGGCGCGATTCTGTAGAGCGGCGGGACAGACAGCCTCCGCCCTGCATATGATGAGCACCTACAAAGCTAGCTACTCAGGAATGTGCACGAGGAGGTGACGGACCAAGCGAGCTGCGAGCCTGCCGCCTACCTTGCCCTTGAACGGGTCACGGAGGCGGTCGCTCGCTCCCTTGGTCAGGTGATGCCCACCGCTGTGGTCCAGAAGCATCATAATGTTCGGCGGTGCGGTCCAGGACTTTGCCCAGCACTTCTCGACCGCCTAGGAGCAGACAAAGGCGGTTTCTCTGCCCCGACGGCCAGCTGCTGCCTCCAACCAGCCGTCGGCTCATACGCCTCCGCCAGCTCGCCGCCGAGGACGCCCCCCTGCGGCTCCCTTCCCTCCCACGCGGCCCCAGCAGCAGCCTTCAGCCGGTTCGCGTCGCGGAGGAGGCCTCAGGTAAGCGTCCCCCCCCCCCCTCAGGCCGTGTGCCCCGCTAAACGCCAGGCGAAGCGATGTTCCTGAGGCGGGCCGCTCAGTGATAGTGTCATGTTTTTCTCAGGAGGCGGTAGCAGGGCCCCTCCTTCCCCGGTGGAGGGTCGGTGGAGAATCTTTTGTTCTAGCTAGCTCCCTGAGCTGGTTGAGGAAAAGCTGACACTGTCATTGAGCACACAGACTGGAATGAGCGCGCACGACGTCCAGTGCGTCACCCCGTTCATTCCTCTCTGTCTCTGAGGGCGCGGAAGGGTGCGTGTGTCGTCCCTGGGCTACGCCAATCCCTTCCCCCTCTACCGCCAGACCCCCGGCAGAACAGACCCCCGTGGAACGCTCTGCCTTCCCTGGTCTCTTCTGTCGGGGAGCGGGCTTCGACGGTGCATCCGGATGGGGTAACTCCCGCACGCATGCCGGTCGACCCGCCTCGCTGCCCCTCCGGGGGGACGTCTGTGGTTCGCATGACCCCGCTGGCTCATTTCCTGGAAGCCTGGCTATCGCTTCCTGGGCTGTCCCGCTGGGTCATCAGAACATTCAGATTCGGCTACGCGATTCAGTTCGCACGGTCTCCTCCCCGTTTCAGGGGAGTTCGCTCCACGATGGTCGGTGGCAATACCCCGGTCATGAGAGCGGAGATTGCGACCCTGCTGGCGAAGGGTGCAATCGAGACAGCCCCTCCAGCCGAGATGAGGCCCGGGTTTTACAGCCCCTACTCATTGTCCCCAAAGAGACCGGTGGGTTACGACCGATCCTGGACCTGCGCATTTTGAACTGTTCTCTCCATCGACTACCGTTCAAAATGCTCGCAGCCAAACGCATTCGCGAATGCGTTCAGTTTCAGAATTGGTCTGCAGCGATCGACCTGAAGGACGCGTACTTTCATGTCTCCTTTTTGCCTCGACGCAGACCGTTTCTTCGGTTTGCTTCGAGGGCCAGGCATATCAGTACACGGTTCTCCCATTCGGGTTAGCTCTGTCCCCTCGTGTCTTCACGAAGATCGTCGAGGCAGCCCTTGTTCCCCTTCGCGAGCACGGGGTTCGCATCCTGAACTTTCTCGACGACTGGCTGATACTGGCACACTCTCGAGCTCAGGTTTGCGAACACAGAGACCTGGTGCTCCGGCACCTAGCCCGTCTGGGCCTTCGGGTCAACCGGGAAAAGAGCAACTTTGCCCCGTGCAGAGGATCTCTTTTCTCGGCATGGAGATAGACTCGGTCGCCATGTCCGCGCAGCTCACGAACGAGCGCGCGCACTCACTGCTGACTTGTCTTCGACAGTTCGAGGGCAAGAGTGCGGTTCCACTGAAACTATTCAGAGGCTCCTGGGGCATATGGCATCCGTGGCCGCGGTGACGCCGCTCGGTTTGCTTCATATGAGACCGCTTCAGCTGTGGCTTCGCGATCGAGTCCCGAGGTGGGCATGGCATCGCGGTTCGCTCCGAGTTCCAGTGACTCCAGCGTGCCGCCGAACCTTCTTCCCGTGGTTGAACCTCAGCTTCTTACGGACCGGCGTCCCTATCCAGCGTGTTTCCAGGCATCTCGTTGTCTCCACGGATGCATCTACCACGGGTCGGGGTGCCATGTGCAATGGGCATGCAGCCGCCGGTTCCTGGACAGGAGCCCAGCGCCTCATGCACATCAATTGCCTCGAGCTGCTGGCAGTACGGCTCGCCCTACACCGCTTCAGAGCGATGATCTCGGGCCAGCACGTGCTTGTCCGTTCAGACAACACTACGGCAGTAGCGTACATCAACCACCAGGGGGGTCTACGCTCGCGCCGGTTGTCGCAGCTCGCCCGCCACCTCTTGATATGGAGTCAGAAGCACCTGAGGTCCCTTCGTGCAGTATACATTCCTGGAGACCGGAACCTGGCAGCCGACGAGCTGTCACGGGTCCGTCCCATCTCCGGCGAATGGCGACTCCATCCCCAGTCGGTCCAGCTGATTTGGGACCAGTTCGGGGAGGCACAGATAGGTCTGTTCGCCTCTCGGGACTCGTCCCACTGCGCCCAGTTTTATTCCCTGACCGGGGGTACGCTCGGCTCAGATGCGCTGGCGCACAGCTGCCCACGGGGCCCACGCAGGTATGCGTTTCCCCCAGTAAGCCTCCTTGCACGGGTGTTGTGCAAGATCAGGGAGGACGAGGAGCAGGTCTTGCTGGTAGCCCCCTACTGGCCCACCAAGACGTGGTTCTCCGAACTCATGCTCCTCGCGACAGCACCTCCTTGGCCTATTCCTCTGAGACAGGACCTACTCTCTCAGAGACGGGGCACTCTGTGGCACCCTCGTCCCGATCTTTGGAGGCTGCACGTGTGGCTCCTGGATGGGACGAGGCAGGTTTGAGTTCGCTGCCACCTGCGGTGGCGGCAACCATCACTTCCGCAAGAGCGTTGTCCACGAGACACCTTTATGCGTTGAAGTGGAACCTCTTCGTCAATTGGTGTTCCTCTCGCGGAGAAGACCCCCGGAGATGTTCGAAC